TAGGTAATGTATAGGAAACATATAGGTAACGTATAGGTAACTTAGGTAACAGTTAGCTTAACAGGTGATCGATGTAGATTTTAATTTTCAAGTCTCAAAGTCCTCTTTTTCTAACAAGTCGCAAAGTTCCCAAGGTTTCACAGTTCCAATATCATGAAGTTCCAGTGCATCAAGTTCTGAAGACTTCCAAAGTTTCAAAGTGCTATCGACATCACAAAATGTGGCAAGTTCTCGAAGTTCCAGTGTCTGAAAGTCCCAATAAGTCCTAGTGCCAAAAAGTAAACGCAGTGTCTGAAATTTGCGTTAAAGTCGCAACGTCCCAAAGTTGGAAAATTCATAAATGGTAAAGTTCGTATCCCGAGAGCGTCGTTGCGAATCTTGCGGTGGAAATATCGGGTGGAAAGGGAGAGTTGACCGCAGATCACGAGGTATGTCCTTGCAACTACTGGAAATTCTAAGATGTGCGAACATTGAACGAGGTCGGTGTGCCGCAGCAAAGCCACGAAATACAACGGCCGGGCTCGTTCGATGCAGTTCACGGGGACGATAGAATGGGGCTGGAACAGGAGCAACGGCAGGGTTCGCCGGTAGTAACGTAACGCTAATCCAATTTGCCATGGTGCTGCACTTTGCACAGGCACCATTTTGAAAGAGGGGATGCGGCAGAAATTGGGGTGAACGCGACGAGGAAATACAGCCTCGACGTGACCGTAAATAGAAACGGATGTAAATACCCTGCTGATTCGGAAATAAAAATGTGAAGGAAATTTGACTTTTTTGTTTCAAACGATAAATTTGAAAGAGGTACCGAAAGAAAAATATTTTTTAAGGGACAAAGGATGTTTTTATTCCGATCAACAATTGTTATCTTTCGCGCGATAGATTTAGTGCGGTCCTTTCAACTGCGATCCTTTATAAATCAATATCCTCGAAGGTCCTATACATAGTCTCTATATCACGTCCGCTAACGCCATAAATCCCTTAGCCACATAAACTTACGAATATATTGTTAAATGAAACGGTAGATCGAGTTACAACGCAACAGTCAATCCATTACGCTCGAAACGATACGGATCGGTGAAACAATATCCAGCATCGACGCGGACGACCCTACAGAGTTCGGGGAGGGAAAAAATCGTCGATATAAATCGCGAGAAGGGCGCGAAGGTAGAGAACGTTTCGCGATTTAATCCGGAAAAGGTTAAGACGAGATTTTCCCTCAATGAGCTAATTCGGAGGTTGTTAATTGACCAAAGAGAGTTTTGGACGAGGCTGGAATCCGCTTGGAGACTTATTCAAATGCGAGAAACGACGAAACGCGGTCAAACAACAGTTAGCACGGGAAAGGCGTCGCCTGTCAGAAACAGTTACGAACACGTTTAAGGAACTTAAGTCGGGATGTTTGTCCCCGAACGACTTGCGGCTCTTGCAGATTCAGGAATCCTTGGAATTCGCGCGAACTTTCGACTTCGTAACCGAGCACAGCCACAGTCAACCGCGATAAATCTGTACGAACGTGTATTTAATGAATTCCCGAGTTTATAAACTGGCGACGATATCGGGTGGCAGATGTTGATATTGCGATTTCACGACGACGAATACGCAATTAACGGAGCGGGAGACGAGAAAAACTGGCGCAACGCTCCTCGCGGAAAACTTTAACCTCTCGACTCGAGAGCGTCGGGAAGTTGCGAAACTTAATATTAATGACGATCAACGATAATGGTATTTAGAGCGTGTAACTTTCTTTCGGTGTACTTCGGGAACTTTCGAAGATAGGGAAAAATGTGGAACGAGATACGAGCGGTTACGACGGAACAATTTTACAATCACCTTTGCCCTTAATGCATTCATTCCGAGCGAAGTTCGTTTAAAAATTCTTCAGATACGCTCGAATAGTATGAAAGTTTTTTTGAGATCGAAAGCGGGAATCTCTGGATCTTGAAATTTTTAATTTAATAACGTTATTAAAGTTGTTGAACGAAACGGAGTACGTGCAAGATGTAACCCGAAACGCTGAAAAAGATAGGGAGTCAACCGAGCAGCGAACACTCTTCGAAATTTTAAAACATTCAGGAGGATATTTGCAAAACCGTCAAGATACTTGGAAGGTAGCCAAGATCCGGGTAAATAAGAAACGTCGAGCTTAAAAGCTTTTAACATTCGTGAAAGATTAAAAGGTCCTTGAAGTTTATGAAAAATTACTGTCCCCTCTCGTAAATCGGATGATACGAATCTACGGTAACGTGCGCCCTTCGTTCGTTGAAAGCATCGCGTTTATTCGATTTCCGTAAACTAAACGCTCACTGAATTTTCATTTATACATTTTGCGAAAAGCAAACTCCCCCGTAACGGCAATAACACTGCGTATATTGCACTTTACCTCGCAATAAATTAAACATGCATTCGCCGTTCAACAGATACGTTACTTAGGAAATTACAGTTAATTAATTAACGTGCGTCGATAAACCGAGAAGTCGATAAAATAGTCGGTGACAGGAGTGCGGTTGAAAAGTTAGCCGGTCGATCGAAACGGATCGGGAAGGAGGACGAGATAGAGGATCGGAATGGAAGGAGGAAAAACGGAGCAGGATAAAATCACCGTTGGACAGTCGCGTAAATAACAAGATAATTTATGATCGTTACACAATGATCGTCATAAATCGTATTTCTGCCGGGCGACAGAACGTGCCGTTATGCGAGGAACTCCGGTTCCGCTGCCACCCTCATCCCTGTGCGTCGATATATTTTGCCACGGGAACGCGATACATGGCCAGCATAATTTATCTGTTTTCAAATATGCCCGCACCGATAAATTTGCATATTTTAATATAAATTCCTGAATGCCGGATCTACCAAGGACGCGGCATCGTCGAGCTGTACGTCTTTATCGATCATTTTTATGCGTCTCTCGCGCGTTTTCACCGTTTCTTCCGTTTCTTCTCCATTTCGGAAGAAAAATACTTGCGAAAATATGTACTTGAGACTGTAATTCGCAAAATTGAACGCTAAATATTCGAGTTTTAGACATAGCGACGGTCGATTGGATGTTCTTAATGGAGGATTTGTGGAAATACAGGGTGATCTATGCTTGGTAATTCAACACGTGGTAGTTCGACGCATGGTGCATCCGACGTATGGTAATTCGGTGCGTGGTGATTCGACGCGTGAGAATTCCAACGTGTCGTGGGTCGACGTGTGGTAATTCTGACGCGTGGTAATTCGGCGTGTAGTAATTCGACGCGTGGTAATTCGGCGCGTGGTGATGCGACGCGTGGTGAGTCGGCGCGTGGTGATGCGACGCGTGGTGATTCGGCGGGTGGTAATTCGACGCGTGGTGATTCGACGCGTGGTAATTCCAGCGCGTAGTGATTCCACGCGTGGTGATTCGACGCATGGTAATTCCAGCGCGTGATAATTCAGAGCGTAGTAATTCCAACGCGTAGTAATTCCACGCGTGGTAATTCCAGTGCGTGATAATTCGGCGCGTGGTAATTCCAACGCGTAGTAATTCCACGCGTGGT